CAAATTAACTTTCCTGTACCTTATTGAACCTTTCGAACTAAAAATCATAAATACGAAAAGACGACGACACTGATATAGTTCATCGGCAAAGTAGTTTCTAAAAGACAAGGTTTATATATCCATTGGCTAAATAAGTCGTTCAGTACTTAATGTTACCTATATGGAAAACTTTATCTGTCTACATTCATTTTCCTCTTGACAATCAGGTGGTTATCTGTTTCTTCGTTCTCACGTCTCCCATTGACCTTCTGAATGTATCTTAGTGATGCAAATATGGCCGATCTCGTTCTCTGTAATGTGATCCAGTGAGACCCATGTAGCTTTGTGTACGCGTTTGTGGGGGGAAGAGGAATACACTACCACCCATAACCATTTTGTTGAATGCATGTGAATCTGTAGATCTCTCGCGATTGTCATTCTTTTCTCCCAGTCCATGTCGCCCCATGATATCTTCTCACCCGGCGTTGTTCATTCCAACCTTGGAGTTTAGGTCTCCCGTCAGAATGGTCAAGTCCGTTCCTGGACACTTCACTACGACCGATTGCGTCCTCTCGTAAAACTGGCCTTTATCATCTTCATTGCTATAGTTGGTGGGTGTATGACATTGGATAGGATTCTTTGTGATCTCCTTTGTTTTGAAGGATGCTTTGATGATTCTGGATCCACGAGATTCACATCCTATAAGTGTTTTCCATGCTTCATTGGACAGAATCTAAGCAACTTCCTGAGTGTGTTGAGCGTTTTCTTCTTCATGATCAGAGTACAACAGCATCTCTCCCGAATCTAATCCTTCCTGTCGAGCTTCGATCGAATGGGTTTCACTGATTCCGAGCACCTCCAAGTTGTATCTCCTGATTTCCGTAGCTATTTGATTGATCCTATCGGTCTCCCATATTGTCCAGACATTTCATGTACCAATCTAAGCTGTTGCTCAGGTTGTTAGAAGGGGCATCGGCCTCGTTACTTCCAAAGAGTCTCGACTCTCACCATGAGGCGTCATAATCCTTCTGAATGAAGATTCTCCAACTCCCAGGGAAGATCTCAAATGGCTTAAATTGTTCATTCTGGTTAGTGTGCTTTTAGCAAGGTTGTTTTCTATGTAGTGGGGTTGTTGATTCCATGTCCAACCCTTCTCCATTGCTCGCGCTTGGGATTGGCATAAACCCTAAGAGAGCTACAGCAAAAGTTGTCTGGATTATCATCTTGCTTCAATTGGTGACTGTCATGCATTTCCTGGAATCCTGGTAAATATTTATGACATGTGAATCTAATCAGATCCACGTTGAGATGAAAAATCAATGGTAGCAGTAGATGAGGATTGTGGTTTATAAGAAGTGGACCAAAGTGGTCTGACACTATGGTGTTCTTCTGCAGACCTAAAGATCTTGGCTCTCATTATATGTAAGTGCACTCCCAGTCAATGTTTGAGATTCATTGATAATACTCGGTTATCCAAACTTAAGTATGGAGCGGTCTTGCACCCAAAACCTATTGGTTGAAAGTGGGATGTTTTAACTAACAATCCATCGTTATGTTGATAGTTACTAAAAGAATTACACCATCTAGCGAGATATGCTTCAGTAAATGTCACATTTACGGTATACATCAGTAAATTTGCTTGAAATCGCTTTAGTTAATACCTATTAACAGCCAAATTTTCGTAACAAATCCATCTGAACGGTTAGCAGACAGTCTTGGTTTTTTAAACGTAATACTGATCAAAAACAGATTGAGGTGCCTGATCATAAGCAAGAATAAATAATCTTCATAAGCTAGACTTCAAAGCTAGTTGGGCTAACGTCCGAAAGGTCTTTTCCATATGACAACCTCATATCAGTTACACAACCAAAAAAACATACTTGGTACATTGATACTACACCATGCATTCAGAGTAAAACTAAGAATTGTTTACCCATCAGGTTTATAATATTTCGAACCCACAGCGCATAACCACGTTATTTCTCTCCCTTAAAGTAATTAATATGGCGTTTACTTTTATTACTATGTCTGAGTATAGTGTATAATCTAGGAACTGAGACAACACTTTTATTTGACGTTGTATTTATACAAAGAATATTGTGGGTAGCTTGGAAGCATTTTTAGTTTTCTTTTACTCAGACTACATTTGGGAAATCCATTTAGTGTTGTCAGTTGAATTAAACATCAGTTTTCAGTAATAAATATTATAGGTTGAAGGTTGATTTGGCTGTAGCGATTCTTACACTAAGTATTTCTGTTAAGCTTTAGTTTCTTCTCAAAGGGTCCATTGATGAAACTGATATGACTTGTCCGGATAGAGGATCTTGTTGATCCGAATAATCCATACGATGTTAATTCAGTTCTGTGATCAAATGTGTTCAGTTGGATGACCGCAGTATACTTTCTAGATGATATAAAAGTCTGGAGAATAATAAGTAGTGATAATACTAAGCTCGAGAGTAAGCTGGTTCAAATGAATGAGCTAGGTGCTCATAAAGTTTGGATTGGAAGACCAATATCAGAAAGTGACCGAGTGCACATCAGCCACAACGACAACAACAACGACCAGAATTACATGACAAATGGGACGCCACTCTCACAAGATTAAGAACACCTAGAAACTTTAAGTCGTGACTTGAAAAAGACCTCACACTACAATGCAACAGCTGCTAAATGGTGCTGCGTATTATGGTCACTTCGCAAAATCTTTAGATTCCTTGACGAAAATATATTTCAGATTTCATACCCCATTCACCTGACACTTCACCTAAAATACTGCATCCACCCAGCTAATCCATGTCTTTTTAAAGATACTGACACTCTCGAGCATGTCTGACAAGTAAGTAATAACACAGTAAATGTCCTGACCAGTTTCTCGCATCATAAGAAATTACAACACTTAAATTCTCTACCTTATAATCAAATGTGAGGCCAGGTTACATTGGAATTTCGTACCCTTAACGATCAGTTATGTGCTGACATGTCTACCTTCTTGTTAGCTTGAAGACTAGCCATCCTCGATGCCTTCACAAAAAAGATAAAAAGACTCACAATTAAACACACTCAAGATAGGATTCTATTTTCTCAGTGGTCATCGACAAGATCCTCTATCCGGACAAGTCATATCAGTTTCATCAATGGACCCTTTGAGAAGAAACTAAAGCTTAACAGAAATACTTAGTGTAAGAATCGCTACAGCCAAATCAACCTTCAACCTATAATATTTATTACTGAAAACTGATGTTTAATTCAATTCATGTATTTGTGACATGTTTTGGTCTGGCCGCCCCTCGCTTTCTTCCATCCTACTCCTACACCATAAAACATCGCTTGTCGGAGTAACAGAGTCAAATGCCGCCTTAAGTCGAAAAATACTACTATTGTGGAACGTCTGAATGTTCGTCTATGTTCTAGGACCTGACGAATTGGGATTATCTGGTCTATACAGCCACGTCCAAGTCGGAAACTAGCCTGGTTTTCTCTAGTCTGCTCTGCACGAGCTTTAGTTAGGCGTCGAAGTATTATTAAAGCTAATATTTTATACACTGTATTAGTCAGGCTGATCCCTCTGTGACTGTCACAAGAGGACTTTTGTGCCTTCTTATAGACTGACACAATCAGTGATTGAGACCAGTCAGACGGGATTACGTCCAGTTCCCAGATTCTACCTAAGACCTTAGTCAATCTCACTGCCAATACTGGACTGCCATCCTTAAAAACCTCAGAGGTAAACCAGTCAGGACCTGCTGCTCTCCCTCGCTTCAGATTTCCTATAGCTTTTTCAACTTCGTTAAGTGTTGGAGGACCTACATCAACATGCCATTCAGGTCGACTGTAGATTGAGGGAAACCGAAGTGTGGCTGAAGGCCAGTTGAAATGATCCCTAAAGTGTTCCGCCCATCGATCCAGTCTCCTGGATTGAGAGTGAATAATATGTCCATCTTTTCCCGAGATACTTTCGCTGAAAGTTGGATTCATAATACCTGTGTCCTTGACAAGTCTTAACAGTTGTCTGCTGCTACTGCAGTCAGATATAGAAGTAACTTCAAACATAGTCCACGTTCTATTCAGGAAGATCTCGGGGGAAGAACAAGTGCCGCAGATAGACTAGAAAGAAGGATATTTCATCAAGATACCACAAAAAGATCTGAGCAAGTGCGAGAGCTACAGGGGCATCACACTACTATCCGTACCAGGGAAAGTTTCAAAAAAGTGTTATTGGACTGGATGGAAAGTTCAGTAAACGTTCAGCTTCAAGACCAACAGACCTGATTCAGTAGGGATCGGTCATGCACAGACCAAATCGCGACACCAGGATCATTGTTTAGTAATCGATTAAATGGAACTCGTCACTATACATCAACTTCCTTGACTACGAGAAAGTATTCGGCAGTGTATGTAAGAGGACTTTATGGAAACTTCTTCGGCACTATGGAATGAGTACCTAAGAACATCGTCAACATCATACGGTATTCATACGACGGACTACAGTGCAAAGTGGTGCATGTAGAACAGCTGACAGACGCATTCCAAGTAAGGACCGGAGTCAAACAAGGCTCTCTATTCTCCTCCTTTCTATTTCTTCTTGTGGTTAATTGGATTATCGAGATGCCCTCATCTCAAGGAAACCACGGAATACAATGGACAGGTTGGGTGCAACTAGACGGTTCGGACTTCGCAGATGACCTGGCCTTTCAGTACCGTACACACCAACAAATGCATATCAAGACAGCCAGTGTAGCAGCAGCCTCTGAAGCAGTAGACCTCAACATACACAAGGGCAAAATCATGATCCTCAAATGCAACACGGAGAACACCAATCCAATTACACTTGATGCAGAAACTTTGGAAGATGTGGTCTTTCACGTACCTGGGAAGCATCATCGGTGAACAAGGAGGACCTGATGCAGATGTAAAGGCGAGGATTGGCAAAGCAAGGACAGCATTCCTACATTTGAAAAACATATGGAACTCAAAACAACTGTCTATAAACCAATATCAAAGTCAGAATCTTCAATACGAACGTCAAGACAGTTCTACTGTACAGAGCTTAAGCTCCGAGAACTATTACAACCACCATCAAAAGGGTACAGGTATTTATAAGCAACTTTCTACACAATATACTTATTGTCCGTTGGCCGGATATCATCAGCAACAGCCTACCGCGGGAGAGAACAAACCAGCATCCAACTGAAACGGGAACTAGGAAAAGACGCTGAGAATGGGTTGGATATACAAACTCAAGTCTGATATGCGGTCGATATCTACAGCAATGGATTATGTGATGTCACGAAGTCGGTTGTAATATGACAATCACTTTATTTGCGATTACTTTCCTACAAATTTCAAAACGCGTATCCTTACTCAATACCATACAACTCCTAAAGCCTATATCATCAAACACATTGTGTCCAAACGACTCGTCCTACAACATGATTAAACAATGAATGACTTAGCTGAAATCTGTACAAGCTCGAATATCCATCGACCGTATCACACTGCTAAAACGCACTACTTAGTACAACACAACAGATCAACATCATTCGCAGCTCGAGAAAACAGAACTACGTTTAGAAATAAAATCAAACTAAAATTTATTTTTTAATTCTACTTTAACAGAAATCACATGCCTCCACGTAGGCGCAAAACAAGATGTAAGGTTGACTCTTTCTGGATGTTGTAGTCAGACAGAGTACGTCCATCTTCCAACTGCTTACCAGCGAATATCAAACGTTGTTGGTCAGGAGGAATACCTTCTTTGTCTTGGATCTTAGCTTTCACATTCTCAATAGTATCACTAGGCTCAACCTCCAACGTGATCGTCTTACCAGTCAACGTCTTCACAAAGATTTGCATTCCACCACGTAGACGAAGGACAAGATGCAGAGTCGACTCTTTCTGGATGTTGTAGTCAGACAGAGTACGTCCATCTTCCAACTGCTTACCAGCGAATATCAAACGTTGTTGGTCAGGAGGAATACCTTCTTTGTCTTGGATCTTAGCTTTCACATTCTCAATAGTATCACTAGGCTCAACCTCCAACGTAATCGTCTTACCAGTCAACGTCTTCACAAAGATTTGCATTCCACCACGTAGACGAAGGACAAGATGCAGAGTCGACTCTTTCTGGATGTTGTAGTCAGACAGAGTACGTCCATCTTCCAACTGCTTACCAGCGAATATCAAACGTTGTTGGTCAGGAGGAATACCTTCTTTGTCTTGGATCTTAGCTTTCACATTCTCAATAGTATCACTAGGCTCAACCTCCAACGTAATCGTCTTACCAGTCAACGTCTTCACAAAGATTTGCATTCCACCACGTAGACGAAGGACAAGATGCAGAGTCGACTCTTTCTGGATGTTGTAGTCAGACAGAGTACGTCCATCTTCCAACTGCTTACCAGCGAATATCAAACGTTGTTGGTCAGGAGGAATACCTTCTTTGTCTTGGATCTTAGCTTTCACATTCTCAATAGTATCACTAGGCTCAACCTCCAACGTAATCGTCTTACCAGTCAACGTCTTCACAAAGATTTGCATTCCACCACGTAGACGAAGGACAAGATGCAGAGTCGACTCTTTCTGGATGTTGTAGTCAGACAGAGTACGTCCATCTTCCAACTGCTTACCAGCGAATATCAAACGTTGTTGGTCAGGAGGAATACCTTCTTTGTCTTGGATCTTAGCTTTCACATTCTCAATAGTATCACTAGGCTCAACCTCCAACGTAATCGTCTTACCAGTCAACGTCTTCACAAAGATTTGCATTCCACCACGTAGACGAAGGACAAGATGCAGAGTCGACTCTTTCTGGATGTTGTAGTCAGACAGAGTACGTCCATCTTCCAACTGCTTACCAGCGAATATCAAACGTTGTTGGTCAGGAGGAATACCTTCTTTGTCTTGGATCTTAGCTTTCACATTCTCAATAGTATCACTAGGCTCAACCTCCAACGTGATCGTCTTCCCTGTCAATGTCTTTACGAATATTTGCATTTTCCGAGTATTTCCAAATACAGTAATGAAGACTATACAAACAGCTGACGAATTTATATACTGATTTCTGGAACTTCCGAATTAGATGGTTAAAACAAAGGTAGCTCTCAAGGGATTTAATAATCCATGCATCAGGAACTGGTGATATGAGAACGGGCATTTGCAGTCAGGCAGATTTAAAAATTAAATAACATGATCTCATCGGTAGGAGAGACGTGATCTCATCATTGCAGTCATGTAACTCAATTATTTGCATCCTGACAGTCCTAGAGAAGAATCACTCTCATTTATAGATGAACCATGAGGTCCGTCGATCATTAAAATGAAGAAAGGTTTTGGAGCGCTGTCATCAGCCTTGGCACAGCAAATACGATGAAACGTTTCAGGTCGGTCAGAAATAAGTGTAGAATTACAACCCAGGTAGTTCAGTAAAAATGTGGAAATAGGTTGGCACAATCTGAAAACAGACAGCCAAAGAGACTGTTCTTGTACATAAATTACAGAATAAGGACGCACCATTGATTCCTCAACGCAATTACAATATTGTGTGGGTCCCAGTCAGTGGAGGAAGACCAGGACAATGCAGAGGTCGTAGTAGACAATTCCAGGACAGTTTTCACTCATGACCATCTTCTAGACAAAATATTAGCCCTGAATCTGAAGTTAGAGAAGCGGTCTCTCCTTGTGAACTTTGATCGATACGACGTATTAAATGTCTTCATTACTTAATTTTGCATTATTAAAATTAGTGTGATAAGATTATACTCCAAAGGCCCTCGCACTTTAGACTCATGAAACTCAACATGGCTGACGGAACTTCACCATGGAATCTAGATACATGTTTCACAATGCATTGCTCCTGCACTAACCACGACTTCCTTGATGTCACTATCAAGGTCGGTTAACTATGAACTGGAAGGATTTGTTGTCATAACAGTTATTAAAAAAGGGTTTAAACACTCATCGGACAAAAGACGCGTCACCCTCACCAGTGCTATGGTTTAAATACTGGAAATAATAAACAAAATGCCATGGTGATATTTGTAGATACCAACAACCTTTCAGACGGCAAAGAATGCGTGCAGTATAGGTTTATCTCTTAAAGCAAACCTCTCTATAGCATGATGGCAATGGCCAGAGGATCTAGATAAAGAAAATCATTGGATACTGTCTACGTGGACTTCAGCAAAACATTTGGTAGGGTGCCAAACATAGACTATTCTAGAGCCCGGAAAATGTACTATCTGTGGACTTCTGCCGAAGTCGTATAAAGAAAGTAAAGATGAATTCCAAGTGCTCCTCCAAGTAGTTAGTACTGGATGGAGTACCACAAGGCTCTGTCGCAGGTCTTCAGGGGGACATTTACCAAGACAGATACAAATGTGTTCACTAAATTATACACTGGGTTAGGTCTAAACTTGAAAACCGTATTCAGTTTGTAATGCCATGTTAAAAAAAGCGATTCGGATATCTTGAAAAAATTACAGAGGACAGCTACCCGTGCAATTCCAGAACTCCGTAGTTTATCATATGAAGAGTGGCTCTTCACTGTGTCCTACCGAAAATTCACAGGTGATTTGATTTTTATGTATAGAATACTAAGGGTTGAGTTCGGACCTTATGTGTTCCCTCTTCTTTTCCTATCAGAACGGGATACCTCAGAGCACATAGCAGGTGAGCACAAAGCCAAGAAAAACAGACGCGCCCGTGACTAGTTGCTCGATTGATTCCTGGTAAAAAGCCGTGACCTTTGGAGTCCTCTCTGCTCCAGTTGGGGAAATATCTCAACCTCAGGCAATAAATGGGGGCTTACGCAAGTTCACAAATCGATTAAAATTGAGCAACAACACCGTTGGACACAGGCTTAGTGGTCTAGAGGTTAAGTGTTCGCGCACTAGACTGAGGGTCCTAGGTTCGACTCCTGCATAAAGGATCGTTGATCTGCACTGCCGAAAAGTCTCATACTAGGAATAATCGGTCGTTCAGTGCTTTCATGTTTGCGATGGTGGTCTAACTTGAATCGACTCGTGAACTCGAACTTTAAAATCACTACAAAATCCACTCCGATAAGAAACATATAATTTTTCGTACCATGTCATCAATTCTTGGGACGTACTACTCGAAGAGATGGAGCTCTTTCCTATTCTTGATTCATTCAGGAGTAGACTTGACACTCTCGGAAGCTTATCGGAAAGGATTAACACAGGCCATAGACCATCCGATCTCAATACAAGAATTTGAGTGATTATGCCGGGTGGTTTTATAAGACAATACTTTCTAGGTCTACTGGGTGGCAATCACACGTTTTAGGACGGTCATGTGTCTGTGGTGGGCTTTCACAAAGGTTGATAAAACTTTGTTCTACACTCTTTACACAGCATTACGTTCCCAACTCTGTTGACCCTTTACATATTAAAGGTCACCAACTAGGGTTCTCCAAGTTTCCAGGCTGTCCTTTGAACTTCTTACCAAATCCTATTTCGGTTCTCCACACCTGGGTTCACATTTAGACGCGTCGTATAATTCGGTCTATCACTTTTTCTTTCACCTTTTTGGATTCCTAGCCATGACCTGCCTTGTAATGTTCTTTGTTGATTTCCTTAGTGTTTCCAATCTATCTCCGGTGCTTTTCTTCAGGCTCCTCCTGAAGTGGAAGTTGATCTCTCCTCTGCCAGAGTGAGTTGATGATAACTATCACTAACCATTAGTTTTTATGAATTCCTGTACCTATTTGGTGATAGCGGAAGTAGCTCTCAAACTCGACGCCATTCAAAGTACTATCTCAATGTTTGTGTTGAAGATTTTAACCCCGGTATTATATGACAATTGTCCTAGTTTTAAATATTTTTCCACTGGAAGTATGCTGACTGTTACGACAATCCATGACTTTATAGTGGGTTGAACTATCTGACTCTAGTCTCTATACTAAGACTGTTGTGGTAATTAGAAGTATTCGAATTGTTGTATTAACAAGAAATCTTCGAAATAACGCAACTTAACCAAGGAGAACTATATGAGCACGGACGAGCGTATTGTATTTGAAATCCAATATCAAGCAGTCATGAATTACAAAGAAATTATTAGTTCATACGAACAAGTCATCCACCAAAGCTTAAATTGGAATCTAAGTCTATGTAATCCATTGTACGTCTTCCCCTTAAGTTCATTGTATGTCATACTGTGTTTTGGATACAAACTCTATATTATCTGTAATATACTCATCAGTATTATAATTCACAACTTAAACTGAAACTGGCTAGCCTGGTTCTTGGTATTGTATCTGTAGTGTCAGTCATTATTTTAAGCCCATATATCTTATATTCTAGTTTTCGGACATTCCATTTTATTCATTCTACTTGAGTCATATTTTGACCTTGTCAATTATTCACTTATCAGTCTTGACTGTTTTTATATATGAGAGTATATGTGTGTACACTTCATATCCCATGACTCATCACATGTTTGTAGTTTATTTTTGTCTGACTATAAATATTGAGTAATGCTCGACTAAAAATGGAGTTGGCTTCCCAGCCATTTTCCATACGTGTCATTTTGCTTTGCTATGTTTCATTCGCTTCATGTACGAAATATATGTATTCTCAAGCCAATTCTCGTTATTCGACTTATTTAATTCCGTTATTGGATAACACGATTTAAGTCGACGATTATATACGAGAATAGGCGGTAACAAACATTCGTACGCTCTAAATGGAGTCAAGAACTACGGGCCACCAAATATCTGATCGATATATCGTTTGTGTACTGAAATCACTAATACCTAGAAGTCGAACCACAGACTTTCCAACACTATCCTACCCTACGACATTGTGTAGGGTTCCTGTGTCGCGATATCATGAACAATTTGACGTTGCTAATTTGTATTGTTTTCTCACATCTCACACTACGATTTTTATATGTGAGTATTCGGTGATACACACTGATATATAATTCGACGTTAACTTGCACAATAATTATGATACATATTCCTTCTGCTTTGACGTTAGGATATACGACGTCGTTGTCCCGGTTATCAGGTAAATATGCATTGATATGTGTAATAAACATATGTGATTCATATGGGCTTGATTCCCCTGCAAAACAAACCAATGGAAAATATGCATCTACCTCAACCTCATTAGGATAATTTTGGACTCGATCTGAATTTTCTGCCTGTGCGAACTTCATATCAGGGCGAATCGTTTCTCTGACCGGCTTACCATTTCCTCTGATTCATCATACCACCGACTAAGAATTTTACTTGAAAAACACTGGTTGTGAGAAGGTCCAACATCTGATTTCACAACATCAGAGGTCTGATCAGGATTTGATGAACTCAACATATTTTCCACATATCTGTAAATAATTTCATTAGAAATCCATGAATCATGCGAACAATGCATATCTGGTAAAATAATGTCATGAATCTGATTACAGTATGATTCATTTGGAACATTTAAATCAGAAGAATCGGAATTACAAAGTCTAGCACTACGTGCAACGAAATGGACAGTAATAATACAATCTGACCGAATGTGTTCAATCTTGCCACATTGAGAGCATTTAGAATTTCGAAATACACATGGACTATGTAAGTGAAATTTGCCACAGGACAAACACTGACCAAACATGTATCCATCTTCGTGTCCTGCATCGGCGGATATTTAGGCGAAAGGTAGAACATTTTCCCAACAGAGCGACAAAAAGGGGAAATCCGCATTATTTCCCAGGGACAGGCGAAAAAGCTAAATTTTTGGCGCGTTTCCTCTTTGTTCGCCTTTACTTTTCCTTTGTTGGTTGATCAGGATGAATCATCTACGTAACCTTGAGTACGCATTGGATTGTGATGACTTGGTAATGAAGTGGAATTCTTGACAACCTGATGAATAGTTTTATGAAATATTCCTCTGTTACAGCACTCTAAATTTGCACAATTTACATGATCTAGTAGTGGTTCCTTAAGAGTTGCACAAGGAAGTGAAATACGCTTATCTGAAAATTCCAACATTATTAACAAGCTTCAGGTTTGT